GGAAGAGGGGTGCTACATAAAATGGAGGCACCGCTGGGATCAGTCTTGGGGTATTAGTGAAGCGCTTAGTGCTAAAGCCGTGTTTTCTTTTTGAATAGTATATGTCCATTTGTTGAAAATGAGTGTTCGAACCAAGTTAGCTTTAGAGTTGAGGGGTTGGTGTCGGGGTTTGGAAATCAACGAAGCCCACTCGTTATTGGTTGTTATCCCTGATAGTGAGAGCGTCCCTGCGAATGAACAGATTGAAGAAATTGTACAATCAATTAAATGCTTAGGTCGTGTTCGTGTCAGAGGACAGGCATTCAGTTCTGAGCTTAATAGTGCCCTAGTCGTATGTGAGTGTAAGGAGCGTGTACAAAAAGACCGGGTTCCTTCGGAAATCGTTCCTGTTGTTGGGGGTGATCAGTGGCTTATAATATTAGCAGATCTTACTCCATCGCCCGATGCCCCACCTTCGTTGTCTGATTTCGGTGATAAACTGAAGGCTTTGTTACGGACAGAAGGCAGAACTGTGGAGGACATATATTCCTTGTTCCCTCCCGCACGCTCTTTGGCAGGTACCACTGAATCGGTATTGAGTGCCGTGGGAGAATTTTTGGAGAGATCCAGAAAGCCCTTTACAGAGGGGGGCAGCTATAAGCGTTTGAGAGTTTTCTCAGGTGTGTTGCCTACACCGGGTGGCGAAGACTCGTTCGAACAATGGAAGGAGCAGGCACTACTCTTTATCGAAGAGTCTGACTGTTCCGAGAGAGAGAAAAGAAGGCGGTTGGTTGAAAGTCTCAGGGGTCCAGCTTTTGAGATAGTTAAGGCAGCCCGTACTGCAAAGGCGGATATTACTCCCGCAGAGTGCGTTGCGTCCCTGGATGATGCGTTTGGATCTGCAGAATCAGGCGAGGACCTGTATTTTGCATTCAGACTACTTCAGCAGCAAGCAGATGAGAAATTGTCTGGGTTTTTAAGGCGCCTTGAACAGTCCTTGCTAAGAGTAGTGGAAAGAGGAGGCGTGGCCCCGGCTTGGGCCGCTACCGCACGTATAGAGCAGTTACTAAGGGGAGCCAAGTACTCTGAGTTAATGTTAGTTAACCTCCGTTTGAGAGAACGGAAAGGGAACCCACCGACCTTTTTGCAGCTCTTAAAAGAGATACGTACAGAGGAGGAATATGAAGTTTCAAGAACCAAGATTGGGACCTCTGTTAGTTATGGGAGCGTGCAAATGAGTAGGGAGTCACCACAGTCAGCGATCCAGAGTTTAAAGCTAGAGGTTAAAGAGCTGAAAAGCTTGGTTTCGGCCGCAGCGGTTAGGACTGTGCCTAGTCAGACAGAGGGCGCAGGGGCGGGTGTGACCCGAACCGGTGTAGTGGACCTTCGGCAAGAGTCGGAAATAGCGGCGTTAAAGAAACAAGTTAAGCGACTGCAGGACAAGTTGAATAATAAAATGACTGATAACAGGTCGTCAGTCCCAATTTCGGCTGTTGAAGCACCTAAACGAGCCTCTAATTCCTCCCGTAGCCCTACCGATGATGAGCGGTTTTGCTATAGATGTGGAGAAAATGGGCACTTTGCAGCTAAATGTCAGAACTTGGGAGATCAAGCTAAAGTTATAAAGAGACTTGTTCAGGCTTTGAGAATCAGTAAAGGCAAGGAAGGTAAAGGTACCATAGTGAGTGAAGTTAACTGTGATGCAATGAAAGGGGCGGCCACTACACCGAAGGTGGCGCAAGTCCCTGATGGTTTGATTGGTCCGCCTAGCCTTGTGCCTTTAAAAGTTAACGGCATCCCGTGTAAAGCGTTGTTGGACAGTGGCTCACAGGTCACTATCATATTTGAGTCCTGGTACAGGGAGCATCTAACCAGTATTCCCATTCAACCAGTGGCAGGTTTGAACTTGTGGGGTCTGAGTGATTCTCAGGTAAGCTATCCATATAGGGGTTATGTGGTAGTGGATGTTGAGTACCCAGCAGAAATCATTGGATCTTGCAAGACGGTTTCAATTCCTGCCCTCATATGCCCAAATCCTAAAACTTCTGATCAGGTTTCGGTCATTGTTGGGACAAATGCCAGTCATGTTAGGCGGCTGGTGCAGCAGTGTAGGGAAAGAGGAATTGATGTCGCTCATGCGTTTGGCATACAGACCCGTAATGCCGACGTAAAGTGTTCATCGAACACTAGCCAACCTACGGTAGAATTAGATTATGAGGTTGGGTGTGTGAAATGGCAGGGGCCAGGCACATTGATGCTGGGTCCAGGTCAGGAGGCGAATGTAATCTGTAAAGCCAAAGTAAAGCCCGATGTTAGTAGAGAAATATTGATGGTCGATGCTTCACCTATTGCTCCGCTTCCGGTAGGGGTCTTCCTTCAGCCGATGGTGGTGCCAGGCAGTGCAGTGGAGGCCGTCAGTTTTAGAGTCTTGGTGAGAAATGAGTCATCCAGACAGACTGTTATACCAGTGGGTACTGTCATTGGTAGGTTGCAGCTTACTGATTCGGTGACCACAATGGCGTCCGAAAGAACGAAAGTAGATAAGTTGAATGCTGATTTGATTAATTTTGGGGACTCGCCCGTTCCTGAAGAATGGAAAGTCAGGTTGTGCAAAAAGCTGTCTCTGAGATCCCATGTATTCTCCCTACATGAATGGGATGTGGGTGTGGCCAAGGGAGTGGAGCATAAGATCAGATTAGCTGATCCTAGTCCGTTCCGCTTGCGCTCGCGATGTATTCCACCCGCAGACATGGAGGATGTGAGGAAGCACCTCCAGGAGTTGCTTCGGGCAGGCATCATTAGAGAATCTCGCAGTCCTTATGCCTCACCAATAGTAGTGGTTAGGAAGAAAAGTGGTGCAGTGCGAATGTGCATAGACTATAGGCTGCTGAATGGCAGGACAATTCCAGATCAATATACCACACCTTGTATTGATGAAGTATTGAATGTGCTGTGCGGGAGTAAATGGTTCTCGGTCCTGGATCTTAGAAGTGGTTACTATCAAATAGCGATGAATGAAGAAGACAAGGAGAAGACAGCATTTATATGCCCTTTAGGTTTTTATGAGTTTGAAAGAATGCCACAGGGGATATCGGGGGCCCCAGCAACTTTTCAGCGCTTAATGGAGAGGGCCGTAGGGGATATGAACTTGCTGCAAGTGATTGTGTACTTAGATGATCTCATTGTGTTCGGCAGGTCTCTTGAAGAGCACGAGGAGAGATTGCTGAAGGTTTTGGATCGTCTTGGGGAGGTGGGGCTGAAATTGTCTTTAGATAAGTGCCAGATATGTATGTCAAAGGTTAAGTATCTGGGACACATTGTTTCAGCCCAGGGTGTGTCCCCGGACCCCACAAAGATTGAGGCAGTCACTAGCTGGCCTAAGCCTGTTAATTTGAAAACCTTGCAGTCATTCCTTGGATTCTGCGGTTACTATCGTAGGTTCATTGAGAATTATGCTGCCATTGTGAAACCGTTGACCGATCTGACAAAAGGCTATGAGCCTAAACAGAAGAGTTTAAAGCAAGCCATTAAAGCAGTCGATTCTTATCCGAAAGAGTCGAGTCCTTTTGGCTCAAGATGGACTGATGACTGTGATAGAGCTTTCCATGACGTTATAGATTGCCTAACACATGCTCCAGTTTTGGCTTTTGCTGACCCAAAGAAGCCATATGTCTTACATGTAGATGCCAGTTTGAAGGGTCTGGGAGCAGTTCTTTATCAGGAATATCCTGAGGGCCTGAGGCCGGTGGCCTTTGCCAGCCGTAAGCTAAAGCCGTCAGAGAAGAACTACCCTATTCACCAACTAGAGTTTCTATCTTTGAAGTGGGCTGTAGTGGACAAGCTGCACGATTATTTGTATGGCGCAAATTTCACTGTTCGTACAGATAATAATCCCCTTACATATATCCTCACCTCAGCTAAGCTTAGTGCGGTTGGACATAGGTGGTTAGCTGCGCTGTCCACTTACACTTTCGATGTGAAATATCGCCCTGGTCGTCATAACATAGATGCGGACTTGTTGTCACGAAATATGTCAGATGAGAAGGCAGAGGAGTGGGTGACTATACCTCAAACTGGAGTTAAGTCCATCTGTCAGTGTCTCAAGGTTCAAATGTCGGAGAGTGAGCCTGTCCGATGTGTTGATCAGTTAGGTGCTCATCCTAATGGTGTGCCAGCAGCCTATTGTTGTCCCACGCAATTGGGGTTGACCGCGTTGGAACAAGTGTCCAGCAAGGAACTAAGAGATGCGCAAGAAGCAGACAACCTCATAGGACCCGTAATGCAGACTATTCGGAGTGGAAGTTGGCCTGTGGGTGTGAAACCTAGTCGTGAGCTGTCTAATATGAGACGGGAGCTAGGGAAGATGATTATAAGAGATGGACTCCTCTATCGACGGAGCCAAAGAGGTTCCAGAGACGAGAAGGTTCAGCTAGTTTTGCCAAAGCGGTTCCAGGAGACTGTGTTAAGGTCTCTGCACGATGACCAAGGACATTTAGGGGTTGAAAAGACGTTTGAGCTCGCTCGGAGTCGATTTTTCTGGCCTAAGATGGTCGGAGAGATTGAGCGATACATAAAAAGCTGTGGGCAATGTGTTGCATTTAAGTCGCCATGCCAAAGGTTTGCCCCTTTGCAACAGATCAATAGTAGTGGGCCTATGGACTTGGTCTGTATAGACTTTCTTTCGATGGAGCCTGATTCTAAGGGACTAGGCAATGTTTTAGTGGTAACCGATCACTTCACACGCTATGCGCAGGCTTTCTCTACAAAAAGCCAGAAGGCTAGTGTGGTAGCTAAAGTGCTACTTGAAAAGTATTTTGTGCATTATGGGCTTCCAGCCCGTATTCATTCCGACCAAGGCAGAGACTTTGAAAGTCGCCTAATTCGGGAAATGTTGGCAATCCTGGGGATTCGAAAATCGAGGACTACGCCATATCACCCCCAGGGTGACCCGCAGCCGGAAAGATTTAATAGAACACTCATTTCCATGCTGGGTACTCTGAGTCGGGAAAAGAAGCGAAGCTGGAGCCAATACGTGAGTTGCTTGGTGCACGCTTATAATTGTACCAAGTGTGATAGTACTGGTTATTCGCCGTACTATTTGATGTTTGGTCGTGAAGCAAGGCTCCCTGTGGATCTTTGTTTTGATACTTGGTTGGGGATGGTCGAGGCTGTTTGTCACTCCCGATATGTCGAGAGATTGAAGGAGGATCTAAAAGAGGCCTTCCGATTTGCATCTGAGGCCGCGAATCAAAGGCATTTAAGGAATAAGCGCCTCTATGACAAGAAAGTGGGTTTTCAGTCCTTAAAGGCGGGAGACAAAGTGTTGTTCCGAAATCTAGGTCTCAGAGGAAAGCATAAGTTGGAGAGCAGGTGGAATCCATGTCCGTACCTTGTGGTGGGGAAACTGCCTAATCTGCCTGTGTTTAAAATAGAGCCAGCTGATGGCAAAGGTGGAGTTAAGACTGTCCATAGAGATCATCTACTCCTCATTGATGCTCAGGTTAGAATTCCTAAAGTCGACCTGGAGGATGGGATGCCTAGAAAACCGCGAACTAGAGCAGATGAACACAAAAGGCGAGTAGACAACATTGAGCCTGAGAATGTTACTGAGGTCCAACAGCAGTTGTCGGAATCCTGTTCTGATTCTGAGTATGATGTGCCTGAGAGATATCGCTATTCTGATGATGATTTGTTGACGGGTAGTAGAACTTCATTGGGGATAGTGTCCTCTCAAGGGGAGGAAGAACAGAATTTAGCCGATGACGGTGTGGCATTGGAAGAACTAACTGATTATGAGTCAGGAACAGCAATTAGAGCTGGTAGTGAAAACACGCCGGGGAGAGATGTTGAGGGAACTGATGCATCTGATTTGGTCAAAGTGACAGGGATCAGAGAGCCAGAGGGTACGATTGTGTCTGAGTCTCGGGGTGATAGCTCTAGAAATGATAGGCCTAAAAGAAAGGTAAAACCGGTGGTTAAGTTAACATACGACCAACCAGGGGTTTCTAGAGATCATGCGATTACCATACTGCATGGAGGGATTACAATAAAAATAGAAGCTTAATTCGTGTTGCACTCTTAGTGCTATAGGGGTCTGATGAGGACACAGACACTTTAAGAGGGGGAGGGTGTAGCAGGGTTAAAATATTTTGTTTATTTCATGTTTCATTTGTTTTTATGACTAGGTGACAGAGGTGTGTTGCTGTG